CGGGCAGACGGGTAGCCGAAAGACATACACGGTGGAGGGCATCGACTACCTGCGGCACGGCAGTGGGAATCCCAGGCCCAGCCTCAAAACGATCCCCCGGCAACACGGCATTATTCCTCGTGCCATCCAGCTTGTGTTTGATCGCGCACGGGAGATGCAGTTGGAGGACGGAAACCTGCGGTTCCAGTTCTGCTGCAGCTTCTATCAGATATACAACGAGCGCGTGATGGACCTGCTGAACCCTTCCACGACGCACTCGCCGAACACCGGGCTGAAGGTCGGCTGGTGCCGCGGCGACGTCTTTGCCGTGGAGAATCTTTTCATCTGCAACTGCGATGAGCCGGAGAAGATGCGTCGATGCTTCTTCTCCGGCACGAAGGAGAAATTCATGGGAAGCCACGCCATGAACCAGCAGTCATCGCGTTCGCACTGTGTATTCACCATATATGTTGCCCGCTGCGACGCCGACTCGCCAGAGACACCCATCAGAGCCGAGCTTTCCATTGTGGATCTGGCCGGATCGGAGAGGGTCGCAATGCTTTCTAGGAGCCCGTCTTCGTCAATGCTGAAGGACTCTCCCGATATCAACGCGTCACTTCTCACTCTCGGAAGAGTCATTACAGCTCTTACTGCTAATGGTACAAGAGCGAAGAAAGGTAAGCCCGCTGATAGGTCGCACATTCCATACCGCGAGAGTAAGCTGACCATGTTGCTGAAGCACGCATTAGGCGGCAACTCGCTCACTACCATGATTGCATGCATTAGTCCGTCAGACCGGTATGTTGATGAGACATTGTCAACTCTTCTGTACGCTGGTCGAGCGCGCAACATTACGAACATCCCACGTGTAAACGAGGACGCGAAGTCTGCGCTCATCCGTCAGCTCCGTGCTGAGGTAGCCAGCATGAAGAGGGAATTGAAATATTGTGGAATTCTGACGACTGACAATCTCGGCAAGGTTGGTTTTACAGAGTCTAAGAGACTTAAGGTGCGAGATGGCACTGATGATGGTAGGGTGAATGAATTGGCAGAGAAGCTTGTACAAGCGTGTGAGGCGCTGAAAAACATTATTGCTTTGAACGGTCAGTTGCGAGATGCTTTTGATACCGTAAAAAACGCTAAGTCGGAGCTTGAGAGGCGTGAATTGGAACTGAACGCTGAGAACTTGGCATTGAGAGAGCGCATAGAACTGCTGGAGTCTATTGTGCTTAAAGAAGACTTCATGGGTGAATCTACACGGGATTTTGATTTTGCGGGTGTTGAAGAGAATGAGTGGCCGTGCCATACATTATTAGACGGTCCGTCTTTGTTTGGTGTGGGCATTGGTTCTTCATTGACGGGCGTTCACAATCGTCCGTTATCCGCAGATTTGGCATCACCGCCCCATAGTTCAGAAAAACACGTGAAGCGCAGGGGTTATAGTACGGTTATAGAAGATGGCGATGGGAGGGGTCCCCTGTTTGCACCATCTTCTGCACGCACGCCGTCAGGTTCACAAAGGAGGGTATTTTCAGTGACTAGAAACAAGAGAAGTGCCAATAGCGGGTTGGATTCTGTGGCGCGTAAGGCATCACCAAAGGAACGGCGAAGAAGGCAAAGATCTAAAATTCAGAAGAAATTGGAAGAGTACACGAACCGTTACTGTCAGCCAAATCATTTTGTGAATTATGCGGAGTATTACGCCAAGGCGCGTCAGCAGATTCCTGTCAATCATGCTGCGGCAGTTGCCATCAAGGAGATGGAAGGGACATTGAAGCAATTGCCGCGTGGCATTGCGGCAACCGTGCCACAGTCACTGAAATTTTCTTCGGAATTTGGTTCGTTGTCATTTGGTGGATCGCGTGAAGGATTGACGGAGTTGGAACAAAGGCGTCAGCAACGTGAAGCGAAACGGAAAGCGCTCCTTGCAGAACAACAAGCTCTAAGGGATAATGTGACCCGGACACTTGTGAACGCAACGGAGCAACTAGAATGTCTGCGTTATGCGGGAACTGGCGCCGTTACGTCTCATCCCTACTCGGGTGATATCGCAGGACGCACGAAAGTTTCCCGCACAGGGGCACCAAGTATCTCGTCAGCGCCCGCAAACTGTGGCATGAATCGATTGCGAGCATATTTGGACCTTGACGCGGCGAAGAGAGCTCTCGTGGTATCGTCACCTCAGTGACAATGTTGATGTGTGTTCACGAAAGTCACTACGGCTGCATGCAGGGATTTCCGAATGAGTACGGGGTTGCCTTTTGACACGGATGCGTGTTGGCTTTGTCGTTGTTGTTGTTCTTGTTTAATGTATGTATTCCTGTCCTTTCCATCGTTGTGGTCGTTATGTTCGTCGGAGTAGCGCAATCAAAGGGGCGCTATGGAAGAGACGAAAAAAAATATATATATAATAATCAGAAGGGCGGAGGCAGAGCGTGAAGTTAAAAAGGAAAAAAAAAGTCGGCCGCTACGTAATTCGAAGCATTTTTAGTGCCCCAATGGGAGGGAATGTATGCCCGTGCGTGAATGTACGCAAGCGCACCCCTGAGAACACGTCTTTGGCGTGAGTGTTTTTGTTTTGCCCCGAAGCAATTGGAACCATCCGCATGCCCACCGAGACGCCGGATTGAAGCATGTCACGTTGAATGCACACATCCGACGTCGATTTGTATAATAAATTTTCGAGTTTGTTGTTGTTGTTGTTTTTTCTTTTGTCTGTGTGACTTTTTATTGGCGGAGTGTTTCCATTTATTTTTTATTTTTTATTTTTGTTTTGTTCTGAAGATCATCTGCGGCCACAACCATAACAAAAAGAAGAACGAAGAAAAAAAAAAAAAAGAAAACAAACAAATAAAATCAAAAACAGTAAATCCATCACTTCAACAATGAGCATTGAGAGCGCCTTTTACGCCTTTGCCTCCTTTGGTGGTGCGCCCACGAAAGAGATGGACAATGCTCACTTCTCCAAGATGCTGAAGGAGACGAAGGTCATTGGAAAGCAATTCACCAGCACCGACGCCGATCTTCTCTTCAACAAAGTGAAGGCAAAGGGAGCCCGCAAAATTACATTGTCGGATTTTGTTGACAAGGCTGTTCCTGAGATTGCATCAAAGTTAAAGAAGTCCGCGGAGGAATTGATCGCAGATATTTCAAGTTGCTCTCCCGAGGCACGCGCAACCAAGGCCGATGCAGTGAAGTTCCACGACGATAAGAACATGTACACTGGTGTCTACAAGGCCGGCGGGCCAACAAACGTGGATCGCAACTCCGGCTCCCTTTCAGGTGTCGTGGATCGCCGTGTGGCGCAGACTGACGTTCGTGGCACGACTGCTTCCCAGAAGTAAAGAGGGAAACGAAATGGAAAAAAAAAAAAAAAAGAAAAAAATAATAATGTGAGAAGGAGAGAGACAAAGAAAAGAATATGGAAAACGAAGCCCATTATATGTATGCATATACGCATACATTTATATTCATATTATATATACGTATGTACATATAATATATATATATATTGTTTAATACAATGAGTTTGGCCGATGTAATCTCCCATCCTTTTTTCTTTTTTTGTTGTTGTTTTGTTTTGTTTTTTACTAATTTCGCGTTTTTTATAATTCTTTTCTTTTCGTTTCTGCACATTTTTTTTTTTCCTTGCCTGTACGCTGATGTTTTGGTTTTTTGTTTTTTTGTTTTTGTTTTGGTTTTTTGTTTTATGCATTTTTCACTTCAAAGGGCGGGGAAGTCATTGTTCGTTCTGTTTTTTGATAGAAATGAAGGCGGATGGTCGAATAATATTTGTTGCTGCAAGAGCCCCTGCCATTTCTGCTAAAATTTTTCCGATTTTTTGTTTGTTTGTTTGTTTGTTTGTTTGCCGCTGTTGTTGACGTGTTGCCACTCGTTTTCCTTTTTTTTTCTTCTCTTCTCTATATTTGCATGCCTTCTCTCCTCGTCCCTCACCCTTTTTTTTTCTTTTTTTTCTTTTTTTTGGTTTTTTTCCCGTTGTACATGAAGACGCATGTGGTGACGTCAGCGTATGCCGTTAAGGATGACTGTCGGTCATCCACTCATCGCTGTTTGTTTATTTATGAATGTCGTTGTTTTTCCTTCTCTTTTCTTTTTTTTTGTTTTTGTTTTTGCTGCCCCGCGTTGTGTTTCTTGCCGCTGCCCCCCGCCCGTCCGTCAAAAAGGAGCCGCGGGAGAGGTGGGTGGAAAATGTTTGGGAGGAGGAGGAGAGAAGGGGACTGCGAGCGAGACGAGGCAGAGCGCTGTTGGGGGGTGGCGGACGTGCATTTGTCCTCAGCGACTTATTTATTTATTTATTTTAGAAAAAAGAAAAAAAGGAAGAAAAGGGGGGGGTTGTGGGGGAAAAGACGAGGTTTGAAATAATTTTTTTTTTTTTTTTTTTTTTTTCTTGGGTGCGCAGATGAGGTAGCGGATTATTTTTGTGCTCATTTATGCCTCTTTTTGTTGTTTTTGTTTTTTTCCACCCGCGGCCGCTCCTGTTCTCCCACGTTCGCAGGATCTGTCGGTGCGTTGGCGGGGGGCAAAGAAAAAAAAAAAAAAAAAGAAAAGAGAAAAAAAATAAAAATAAAATGACTTTTGAGCGAGACGCGGCGACACCGGTTGGCAATGGAGTCAATGAAAGAAGGAATTGTGCTGCAGTCAAACAAAAGGAAAAATGCCATAAAAAGAGCGCGAAAGTGGACAGAACAAGATTGGCGGGAAGGAGGAAGAAAAACTGAAGGAAGTAAACAATTTAAAGAAGAGGAGAAGGAAACGGGTATGCATACACGAACATCGTCAACTGTGGGCAATCAAACGCGGCCTGAAAACTGGGCTCCTGGACGAATGGTGGGTGGGTGGGAGTGTACATGTATGCCGTCGTCTTCTCTGCCAGTATGTGTATGTGTCTTCTTGCACCTGTGTCTTTTCATTTGATTTTTTTTTTTTCTTTATAGTTACGTGTGTGGATTTTTACCTTTTAAGTGTCCAAATAGCAGAATAAGAGATTGAAGCATAGTTTGTAGTGGCGCAAGGAAACACAAGCAAAGGCGTGCACAGTTATTTTTAACAACACCGCGTCGCTACAAAAACAAACATATAAATATATATATATAAGGGGGGAAAGAGAAGGATTGAGTGGTATAGGCAAAGGGAAAAGAAAAGGAAGTTTACGAAAAGAAAAGCAACGTTCGGACCTAAGGGTCATCTTTGCTTGTTGTTGTTGTTGTTTTTTTTTCCTCTAAAGAGAAGGAAAGTAATTCTTGGTATTGGTTTTTCACCTGGCCGCGTTCTTTTTCTCTGATTTCTTTTAGGTTATTTTTCTTGTTTTTCCCTCTTGGCTTGGTCTATTTCGACATGGACAGAGAGTCGTCATCGCAGTTCACAGCTGACCGTGACGCGGAATCTGTGCCCCGCATCACGTCGAGGGAGGAACTCGCCGCACCACTGAATACCACGAGGAGTAACACCGAGTTACTGGGAAATTTGGATGATGATGATGGCAGCAAAAACTACAGTAATGAGAAGGCGGAGAACGGGTTATTTAGGAACGAGGAAAGTCTGATGTCAAGGGAAACGTTATGGGGGAGCCCGTGCAGGCCAAAAAGCGACTTCAGTATTTCTTGTGGTGCCTCATTACGCGATGGTACTTTATCCAAGGCCTTTCAAGGGGAGCAGGTGCCCATGCAATTAAACGAGGAGAATCTCTGTCAGATGAAGAGGGAAATGGCGGAAGGAAAAGTGATGTTGCAACCCGAATTAATTGACGTTGATCCATACCACATTAAGCGAAGGGCGGCCAAAGATAAAAATGTAAGCGTTATTTCAGTGGCGTCAGAGGCAGAAGATGCAACCGGCTCTTCAATTGTGAATTCGGACGTTGAAGGAGCGCCTGTGTTTTTGAAAACCGACATGTCGAAACGCTCTTGTCCTTCCACATCGCTTTGGAGCGTTGAGAGTGTGTATGGTAATAGTGTTGTGCCAGATATCCTCAGTCGCTCAAACCTGGATCGTTTTTCTACCCAACTCCTTATGGGCGTTAAAGAATTGAGGCCGGAGATGCTGTTGGGTGATACCATGCAAGACCTGCTTGGTGTCTCGGACCTCACAAAAAGTGGCGGGCAGGAAAGTCTCTGTGTCGAGGGGGAAAGTGAGACGAGGGATGATTACATTTATCCATTTGAGGCGACAAAGACTTATGAAGTGATGCAAGGGCATGGCCGTGATGGAAGAGCCAGCGAACACTCCGGTTTTCGGACGTCTGTGGATGAGGCAACTCAAACGAGGGGAGAAGCCCATGAGGGTACGGCGCCGCCTGCACCGGGAACGAGGCCGAATAACAACGATGCTTCGACAGAGTTCAGTTTTTCCGCATTTCCCGACTACAGGGCGTCGGGAAGTTTGATGGTTTGGCCACCCTCCCCCAATACCTGCTCGGAAGAACATCATTTTTTATCTGGTTACAAAAAGCCGACTGTTCCTTCCAAAATAGAAAGATGCGTCGACGTCTCCAACGAAAGCAATGCGCGGGCGATTCATGAGATGCGGCAAATGATAGAACGAGCCCTCCAAGAAATCAATGAATTGAAGACGAGACAGGTGAAACTCAGTGCTGACATGACTATTCTCCAACGCTGTCTACGATCTCACTTTGCGAACGAGGTGAAGCAGCCACACTCTTTGGAAAGGCAAGCTCCTGAGTTGCAAGAAGTGCAGGGGTCGGATCTTGGGAAGGAGGAAACGCAGTTGGTAAGAACAGAAGCAGAGTGTACTCCGTTAACTTTCCCGGAGTTACAGACACTTTGGCAGAAGTTGGAAGATGTTCTGCAGGGCCTGAGAGCACACCATGAGGGTCAAATGAGTCACTTTATTCGGCAAGTGATCGATCGGTTTGGACAAATCAATCAAATTGTCTCTTACACACTCACCAAACTGGATGCATTGCAGCAGCAGCAACAGGGGGACCACCATGACAAGATGGAGGTCGCTCTTCCTGTTGATTTGATTTCTGATGGGGAAAAGGTATATTTGATGGTGGACGTTCAGTGTTGTACCACTGAGCACTGTGAGGTCTTGCTCCCCATAAGTGTCAGGGCAACGGTGGGCATGTGCAAGCGCGAGCTTTTACGACGGCTTCACCGACAGGGTTTAGTTGAAAATAACATTTCTTACGCCGATGTTATTCTCCTGCGGGACACACTGACATTATATGAGGAGGACGTTCTTGGGGATGTTCTTGTTCCCGCGCTTCAAAACATCGGTGCTTCAATGAAATTGGTGAAACTGACGCTGCGCACAATATTCCCTAAATCGGTGCACAGTTTTTCTCCAACGAACGACGAGAAATGTGCAAGAACAACTAGTCCAACAGCTCAACACAATGGGATTCCTTCAGTGGGCGCTTTTTCGGCTGACCCTGTGGCCACGAGTGGTCGTGACGCACGTGCCGCCATGACGACATTGGAACGGCAATCTCCGTTACAACAATACGCCACGACCGTGCGTCATTTAACACCCGCGGATAATTTACGCTTTGAGGACCTTGGTGTACTGCGTGGGGGGGCTGCGGATGAACTCAGTCAGAACGAGTCGCTATATCGTCGACTTATTTGGGAGCTGGAGCGTTCAGAGCTAGAAGAGCTCCGTAAAGACGAAAAATTGCAACGCGTTGCCGTTGCCAAAGAAGGACTAAAACGCGTTCGTCTCACGCTGTTGGATCGTGTGACGTACTCCACTGTGGAAGGACACCGTCACGTGGCCCGCAGTGCCCTTGAGAATTTGGACACTCTCTTGGTACCGGGAGCAACCGTGGAGGAAATATGCATGGCAACCAAAATGGCACAGAAAGCAGTGAAAAGCATTGGCAATACCCATGGAGAGGAAAAGCGCGTGGCCGAAATGCAAGAAGCCATGCGTGCGGAGCAAGAACGAAAGCAAAGAACGATTGAAGAAATCAAAGAATTATGCGACGAAGTTACCCATCGGCTACGTATCCCCGCGAATTTGTTGAAGCGTGCGGAGTCAGTTGCGCACGAAGCGCAGCGTGCCATCACGTTGGCACCCAACATGACTCTAAAGGAGCTGGAAGAAGTGCATCAATCTTTGGTAAATTTTCGCGCTGCAGTTTGTATCTAAAAGCGGGGTTTCTTTCCTTTCTTTTTTTTTCTTTTTTTGTTGTTGTTTTTATGCGTGCACGTCATAAGAATTATTTATTTATGTTTCTACTCTTTATTGCTCGATTCTTGTTTCACCTTACGGCGGGGTGTATAGTGCACCTTTTTTTCTTTACCTCTATGCTTGCGAGAAATCAAACTCATGTAAACCAATACCACGCGTTTCAAAGACAATAAAGCAGGCACGAAGTCCCACGCAGGGAAAAAGGAGTGGGTTGGGGAGTACTGTTCCAGCGGCAAACGATGCCAACTCCAAGAAAGCGTCATTCCGAACTTCTTTTTTTTTATTTTTTGTATTTATTTTCATATATATTCATATATTTTTATAGCTATATATTTCCTTTTGGTGAGGAACACAATCGGTTTGACACGGGACACGGTGAAGAATATGTCACTCCTAAATAATATAGAAGCTTATACTAGCAACGTTTCTGTTTTAATTGTTACTTTCTTTTTGAGTTTTTTTATTTGTTTTTGGGACTCCTGTTACCATCACAATGGTCAATACTAGCACTGCGTGTATTTTTATAAGCTTCAGGAAGAAATGTGTACAAAAATGAGGCTGAGCACATGAAGCAGACCAACAGAGAGAGAGAGAGAGAGAGGCTTTGGATATATAAATAAATATATACATACCTTGGCTTCTTCATTGTGAATTTATTTTTATTTTCAAAGATACCGCGTTGGAAGGTAGCGAGAGCGCCGTTTGTGTTTGTATTTTTTTTTTCCTGATTTCCCACCCTATCCTCCGGTGCTGCCCTTCACGAGGGGGATTCCGACGGCTGCGTGGCTCTTTTGAGGGTTGCCGCTTTCTGAGCCTCCAACGATCTCTGTGTTTACGGTATATGTTTTTTGAATGCGTTTGTTGGCTGGCGTGTGTGTGTCTGGGTGTGGGAGAAATCCTCTATGAACTGTGTGGAGTGCTGGGTGCACTGAATAAACTCTTTCTCTTGTTGCACCTTGTCCTTGTAGGAAGAAGTCGCCAGGGCCTCATACAAGCGTATATTCACTGTCTTTTTCAGAGGGCAAACCTTAGGAAGAAACAGCGGCGAGAGCGGTAGGCAGGAGAGGAAACAGGACCAAGAAGGGGCCATGTCGCAAGAGACACTCAGCGCGAAGCAAGTGAATCAGCCCGGTGTTCATGCGCCGGAGGTCAAGGCGTTGCTCAGTGCCCGGGCAAGATACCGAACAGTCGTTGTAGTTGCCGTCACATTCCTTCTGCTCGCTTGTCTTTTTGTCATCTCCAGTTCGTCCTCGGAACAGGGTGAGGGTCGATACCGGCCGAGGGCGATTGTGCTGATTGTTCCCCACCTTCCACCGGACATGCTGGAGGCGGCCATGGCAAGCAATAAGGCCCCGTTTCTTGGTCTCATCTCCGCTGCGGACGGCGTCTATGCCCGGCCTCTTGCGAAGAACACGGAACTGTCGTCGTCCCTGGTGACGATTCTCACAGGCAGGGTGGAATCGAGTGCAACGGGCCTCGTGGGTGCGACGAGCTTTCTGGGGAAGATGAAGAGGGCCGGGAGGAAGCCCGTCGTTCTGGCGGCGGCGTCGTACTGGTCGGCACAGGTGGCGGCGGCGGACGGCAACTGCAG